TTACCGCACATTAATTTTACTATACACCACAAATTCATTATTGTGGACTGTTATGATAAAGACATCACTAAGACTACAACACACCTTTGAGCATGATGAGCTAGAAAAATCATTAACTTGTAATAAACCGAGAGTTTTACTTTTCCTATATGCCTCTCTTTGTATTAAGAGGCCTTTATTTATAAAGACATATTGGCGTCGGAAGCAAATTAAAGTGTGTGTGGGGGGGGGGGGGGGGGGGGGGTTAATACCTTAAAAAAAAAAACTGACAAGCAAAAGAAAAGGAAAAAGTCAATTTCCTAAAGTCGAAAGTCCTATTCCTTAGGGGGAGAGAGGGGGGGGGGGTTCGAACTTCAGTGCTTTCTTTTTCCAAACACGACCACTTTCCTCATTTTTAACCTATACTGCGACGTGCCTCTGGAAAGTGGGGGGCTAAACCATTTTCAATGACTAGGTATATATATGGCACGCCAAATTCACAAAAATGAGCAAATCATAGTTTCACAATCGATAAACTAGGTTATCGGTTGTAAACTATAGTTTACGGACTGTAAACTATAGTTAACAACGTTAATCTATATTTTACATCTGTAAACTATAGTTAACGCGATAATCTATGTTTCACAACCGTAATCTATACTTAACACCAAAAACTATCATTTGCGATTGCAAAACATAGATTATCTGATAAATACAGTTTCATGATTTGTAAACTATAGTTTACAAACCCTTAACTATAGTTAACGATCCTGATGAATATAGTTTTACGATTTGTGAAACTATGATTAACAACTCTTAACTAAGTTTACGATAGTTTATCTATGTTTATCAACAAAATCTATTGTTAACTTAAATATAGTTTTACAGATGAAAACTATACTTAACGAATCGTTATATGATTTGTAAACTAGGGTAGGATGGTGTAATTTCGACCACCTGGTTAATTTCGAACGTTTTTAAATACGTTAATATATTTTTCTTTATGGCGTATAATTGTATAACTGTGTATGCATATTTATATTATGCAGAAAGAAAACGTATTTTTAATATATTGTGTCCAAAATAATTTTATTTCCATGAGGGTTATTATGATATTTATTGGAAAATTACATAAAAGAAAAGGCTTTATCACCCGAAAAATTACAGACGAGTATATTTTTGGCCACTACGGCAAACTATCACCTCATAAAAATCTTCTATGGAAGGACAATCAATGGATATCCCTGGCGTGACATTTATCAAATATTATTTTGAAAATGAAATTTAAACCCTTTTAATCTATAGTATTTAGTTTTTGTAAATTAAATTGCAAATCAGCTGAACAGAAATCGGTCGAAGTTATCTCTACATGAATACGGCGTCAGTGGGTAACTTCGACCAATGTTAAATGACGTAATTTACTATCTGTCACCAGAAAGAATTCATGACCGTCCGGTAAAATATTAGAATATTAAGTATTATGTACATTAATACCTGGTAGAAACTAGGACTACAATAGTGATAAATAATTTTTATTTTTAATAAGTTTTATTTTTCTAAAATTATGTTGTCAGTTATGTCATCTTTAACACGTTTGATTCATCTATGTCATTGCATGACTTAATTGATTTTTTTTTAAAGTTGACACGCAGTTACGCATATTTACCGGAAAATGGTCATGGGTATAAATTGTTTTTTTTAATATACATGTAAATGGGTCAAGTCTCCATATCACATTAATGTTTAAAAGATTCAAAAGTAAATGTAAAATCTATTTTACGTTTTAAAAAATGGAGTCCGAAACCATTCAATATAAAAAGCGATTTATGGAAAGATATTAAATTCAACAACACGATTCACCTAAAGCACTCTAACATACATTGATGACAAAAAGCCCTCGTAACGTAGTGGTTAACATGTTCAGGTTAAGAGAAAAAAGGGTTCGGTATTATGCCCAACCTTGAGCTTTGGATAGAGTTCGAATCTTGTGAGAGTTTTTTTTCACACACCTTAAAACAAACCTAAATAAAACATGAAATTTTACAATCAGTTAGTTATTTAATAAACTAAAAGAGGCAGATATGTAAAAGATGACTCTGACAAGGTAATTATTGAAAAACATTTTATCATGAATTCTTACACTAAGAGTTGAAATTTTTTTGGTCTCAAAGTGGGGATTGTCCTATAGCCTTGGATACTTCTATTCTAAAACCATAAAACAGTAAATAATTGTGCCCCATTAAATATTAAACCTTGAATTTGTTGAAAATTAGTGTACAGAAAATTAGATATGAACATACATTTCATCAAAGTCTTGAAGTAGTACTGTACAAAGTAATAACATTTTATTTCTCACTTGGCAGCTAGATACGTATATTCCTCTCTCCAATCAACATCCCCCCTTATAATACTAAACAATAGATGAACAAATCAAATGCAATATCTCACGGTAATCAGACTGAGTGAAAAATCTTAGGGAAACTTAAATTTTATTTTTGTAAGTTTTCTTTTCAACCAAAGTGTTATTTAACGATCATTCAGTACTTGGGCAGGCTGGAACACCCCTGCCCCCCAAAAGGAAGAAGAGTCGGTTTTGTATTCAAGTCATCCGCCTTGTACCGTCGAAGGGGAGGAAGGGGCTCTGAACTTGACATAGTAGTTTTAAGTAAGTGTAAAAGATATACCGGTATTTAAAGACCAATTTTTCTGAACTAGGGTGTTTTATGCCTGAATTACTATTGCCAATTTACACTAAAAGATAGATAAATATTGATAAATTGCGGCTTTATCCCCTAAACAATATTATACGTTTACGTTCTTTATTCCTGCTAGTCCTGGAATTTTTTGTGGGTTCGTGGCTGCAACCCCCACCCCCAATATTTCTTCCTAGGACCTTCATAGCTCTAATAATGCCTGAAAAAAGAGGATTTGCTTTCCTTGATGAATTAACCCAAAAGCTACATGTAATCACTATGAGTATTAATTAAAAAAAGAAATAAAATTGATGTGTCTTTATTTATTTCATAAAACGTTTTATGTTGTTTCCGGTATTTAGTGCAAACTTTACTTTCACTTCTCACCTGCTGTAGACCATATCTTCCTGATTGTAGTTCGAATAGGCTGATATAAATGCATACAAACATGGTTTAAGAAAAAGTCGTGGTTTTAATTGAGGATGAAGATGTAAAATTTTATGTGTTATAATTATACATGTACGTGCGTATTTCGTGTTGTCCATTTTACTGAGCAATGCCAAACAATAACAATACGTCAATAGCGAATATGACTTTGAATATATTCAGTATTTGTACACAACTTCAAAATTAATGGGTTTTTTTTAAAGTTCTGTAGCTCTTATTTAGTATTTTTTCATGTATTCCTTTTTTTTGCTGATACATGATACATACGTTTTATACGCATGACTTCAAAGAAAAGTCCGAAGATATTTGTTTACCTCTAGTGTGGGATCAACTAATTACAGTAAACTGACCACCCACCCCACCCCACCCCCCCCCCCAAAAAAAAAAAAAATAAATAAATAGTGGACCTATACACCTACTAAAGTGTTAGTGAACAATTAAAAAATCATAGTATGATACTTTTTTTGTGAAAAATGTGTAATATTCTAACAAAGTCTATAACCATATAATTTACAAGGGGCAAAAGGGTTAAAACTGAGGAAATTCGGATTTTGGAAATGTTCTTTTTAAGGTATGAGCACACTTCTGCCCCACAAAATTTTTTTCATGAATAGAAACCTTTTGATGTTAGTTTTAAACTGAACCCTAAATAAATTTGGGGCAGGCCTGTGCTCTATGTAAAATTTGACTATTTAGCCCCGAAAAAGTGATAAATCAAGCAAATTCCTGATTTTCTATGATTTTGGAGCTATAGATCTTAGGTATACAAGTATGGAACTCCAAAATTTTTTCCACTTTGATAAACTACGATACCTAGACTACCTTTTAGGCAAAAAAATTTTGGCCAAAACTTCAGTTTATTTTTGACCATTTTACAGGGCATATTTTGACCCTTCGTGGGCCAGCCTCTTTCACATTTTTTATGATGCTTATACATGTACATGTACTTTACTGAAGGCAACATTGCACTGAGTGACAAATGGGAAATAACTCCTGCTAAATTGCTTAGATGAAAAACTAACAACACAAATTCAATTATCTTTTGATGAGGTCAGTCCTTGTATAGAGACAGTAGAGTGAGCATACCAATTAAGCATGAGGTTCATCATGGACTCTTTATGCCAAGCAGTTTTCAAATATTATAAAGGTTGGGAACTGCCTGATTAACTTATATCAATCATCCATGTTTTATTTTTACATTTTAAAGGACAGAGAGACTCCTGATAGCTTATCCAAAACAAAGTACCGGTAGTTACTCTTTGTTAAGTGTACATATTTGTATTTTGTATATTCTATATGCAATTACATGTATATGTTAAGCTGGGTACAAAAGTATTTTGGAAAGACAGTGGCTTTATTGGACAGTATTTCAATTAGTCTTTAAATACTTATAATCTTAATATGAAGAAAACTTGGGTAATAATGAATTCATCTTGCCAGTGTGCTGTACAGGAACATAATTGATGTATTCAAAATTTATAGCAATCATAGGACTGGTATTGAATAGTTAGTCCAGTTATGAATAAATGCTTTGACACACTCATCCATGTATTGGATTTGTTCATGGTATTTATGAATAGGGACATTTTTGTCTGGGCAAAAGCTGTTAAACTAGCAAAATACTTTTTAAAATACAGCATGCAGAATGATGGAGAGGTGCCCATCAGGACACAGAAGTCCTGCATATATTTTCAATAATTTGCATCCATACAGTTACTGACTCTAATGTAATAATTCTAGACCAAAGGATATGCACCATAGCAATGTATATACAAGACATGCTTTTCCTATCAATTTTTTAGTAAGCTGAAGTTTTGATATGGTGAATACTTCATACAAATAACTGTCTACCATATCAGCTCTTTTTAATATTGTAATCACCTTGTGTCTTATCGAGTTCCTGTTTGACCTCATTATATCTGTCCTTCCATTGGTTGGATTGTTTCAATGCATCTGTCTCTCGGTCCAAGCACTGCTTGTTGCGTAGATCCAGTTGTTTCAAACGCTCCCCAAGTTCCTTCATTTGAGCTGTTGCAGTCACAATATCTTTCTCCTGAATTAAAAATTTTGATGAGTTAACTTTCATTCTTATATTTTTATGCAGTTTTAATGTTATTGTGAACATTTGTACAAATTATAAAAAGGTTTGCTACAGATATGAGGAATAAACATTGCAATTTTTTTTTCTATCCTTCATGAAAGTTTGCTCAGCTGTGACACTTCAGTAAAGAGGGGAGGAAACCCTCATATAAATTATTGCTTGCATAAACATGTATGTACATCACTGAGAATTCTGTCTTACTGGAGGGCATATATACATTGTATCTTCACACATGTATAACATACCTTCAGCCTGAGAGCTGTACACATCTCTTGTTCTCTGCCTTCTAATTTTCCGATGGTGGAAGACATTTCTTTTATCTTTTCTGCTTGTGCCTGATATTTTTCCTGGAAGATTCAAAAATGTCCATGAGAAAATGGAATACAACATGTTATCCATCTCTTTTTCATGCTAGCAAACAATTTGAATTCAGTTAAACAATGAAAAAATATTTTCTTATGTTATCCAAAATTGCATTGTCTGGATAAAAATTACATGAATCCAAATTTGGAGAACTTCTAACTTGGATCATCTGTGCAGGCTGTCCTTGCTTAATACTGTGGAATCTTTTTAATTTGTGAGGGTCAATGTTCACGGGCAAGCAAAATTTTGTTTGTGGGTTACTCAATTGCTTCAATAAATCAATATGTTTACAAATAAACGGTTGTGGGGATGTAAATTTGTGGGTAGGGTTAACCCACAAAATTAAGGAACATTGGTCCCCCATTGGCACTCCCCAGGTAATTTTGTAAATGACAAAAGATAAGTATACATTGTATATAGGTCTACCCCTAAATACGATAAAATCAATAAGTTGCAGGCCTTTTTATAGTCTAGAGGGATAGACCTATATATACTTATCTTTCCTTGTTTACAGAATTACCTTGGCAGTGCTGATGGGTCCCCCATGAACAATGATGATTCTTAACCAACTGATGCTTTACCTCCAGCTCCTTTATATGTATGCCTTGATAATCATTTTCCTGACAGAGTTTTGTCAGCTGCTCCTGTGTTGTTTCCAGAGTGGAGTTCTGGCACGTGCTTTCGTTACTTAAGGCCTTTAATTTTGCTATAGCCATCCTCAATTGTTTTGTCCTATGTTGAACTTCATCTTCAAAGCAAAATAATGATGCATGTATCAACATTTTAAGAAATATATTTCACCCGTTTTTAAGCTACAGTCTATATGCTATGCTTTGCAATTTATATGTCAAACATTCTCCTAACTATCTACTCTACGTGCATGTTTTCAAATCAGTTATGCATAGTACCTTTGCAAAATCTTCTTTTAAATATCAAATAATCACCTTGAGCCTTTGCAAGCTTCTGTTCTAATGTTAAAATTCTATGTCGATCCTGCTCCCATGCAATCAGCTGTTGCTGGTGGGCCATCATCATGTCATTTAGTTCCCGATCTCTGTCCTGAAGTTCCGTGACTAATAGCTGTATTTCATTTCTCTGTTTGTAAACTGTTGTGTTTTGATTTTCCCTACATGTCTGAAATTATACTTTGACATGTTTGAAATTACAAATGTATAATATAGAATATACATGTATAAGAAAGTATGAAAGGTTTTTTCTGAAATGAAAAATGCAAAAAGAAGTAGAAATCAGTTTTTTAATATGAAAATCATTTCTAAGAACTTACAGTTAAGGATTTACTATGAGAACTTTCTTTTCTTTGATTAGAAGTGGATAAGAGATGTTGTTTAGTGGAAGACAGACTAAGGGGTTCTTTTGCTGTAGATGAATACTGGTGTCCATCAGGATATCTACCAGTCTCTATCGTTGGTGAATACTTGTGTCCATCAGAATATCTACCAGTCTCCGGGGAGTTTCTCCTTCTACTTCCACCAGCATTGTTCCCATCACTAGTTGATATGGAGGAGTTATATCCCTTTTGTCTTCCTATTTCCCCATTTCTCAGCTCTTCAACTCTTTTGGGAGATCCTGCTGATGGAATAGTTTGATAATAAACATTGTTTTCTGAAGAACTGGGGTCACCTCCCTTGCTGCTGGACAAATATTGTGAATTTGGTTGAGCTGCTACTCTCTCGGAAATTAACTGAGAGTTACAATTTCTGCCTGCAGAAGGCATTGTTGAAGCTCTCCAGTGTTCTCCCGGATTGACTGCTGAAGATCCTGATGAGCCCACTTTGTGACTCAGATATTGAGATTCTGGAGTATGAAGAGGGATGTCTTGAGATCTGGGAGGAACTTTCTCCCCAACCTGGTCTTCGGACAATCTGCTCTGTGCTCTTTTCCGTGTTGAAAATGGTGGGATAGTGGACTGAAATATTTAGCATACATGACTAGATACAGTATCATATTCATTTATCACTAGAACAGTTTCAAAAAAATATATTAATTTGTTAAGTAGAGCTGTTAAATTCTGCATACTTGAAAATTTTGTTCCTTCAAATTTATCGGAACATACTTCCTAAAATTTTCTCTTTGCAAGAATTTATTTTATGTAGTTCATTTACTTAATGACTATATTTTACCTTAATAGGTGTGCTGTGTATAGGTATTTCCTCATTTGGGACAGGGAGAAATTCTGTATAATAAGGGAAAAAATTGTCATATACATGTACATTAAAAAGAGCTATGTTACCCATTAAAGGTGTTTCCAATAGGTAGATAAAACAAAGAGCAGGTTGATAATATATAATTTTAGAAGATGTACAGAAAACTATTCAGAAAAAGTGTATGTCATAAAATACAACAGTAATTAACATGCTACCTACCCGATTCATTCATCATGCCGCATCTTTCCGTTCAATGGCCATGCATAAGATTATGCCTATAAATAGATTTGCAACATTGAAAATTTTGATGGTTAACTTGTTTTTGATTTAAAAGTCACAGAGTCAATCATTTGCTGACTGTGATAAAAAAGTTATCTTTTTACTTTCATAAACATGTGGGTACAAGTCCAACTCTGAAAAATGCAACCTTTTAAAATCATAACAAGATTTTTTTTTAAATATGTATGTAAAAACTTCATTAGAGGAAAATTTCTACCTTTGATTACTGATTCTGTAGAGTAAAAGAAACGGAATATATTTTTTAGCTTCTGTAACGACGCGACGGTTTCACTCTTTTGTTTACAAATAATCCACTTCCTGTAATATTATTACCTCGTACAAATAAAACTCTATTTGGCATTAAAAAATGTCGTGAAAATTTGCAGATCTAGTTTGAGAATGATAAGTTGATTTTTTGACTAAGTACCAATTGAGTAAATATAATTTTAACTTAGAAAGTTAAAGACTTTCTCAAGTACCAAAGCGATATTGTACAAGTTATCAACGAACTTATTAATCGGAAGTCCTCTTAATTTTTCCTAAGACCTGTCAAGTCAACGTGAGGTGAGTTATTAAAAATATCATTAATATGATTTAGAAAGCCTTAAAATTAGATCTAATGTAAGGATAAGTCAATGGAAATGTAATAATCATCTTTGTTTTAATGTCATTATCTTTAAATAATAGGAATGATTGGGAGATTTTTTTAAGTGAACATACACTGAGGTGAAAATAATAGAACAGTTGCACTTACAAGCTACAAGTGCATGTAGCATAATGTAAGGAGATTACAGTACATAGTTTCTTAGAGTTGCAAGTGTCCAGACAAAGGGACATCTTAACTGCTCTGTTCTCTCATTTCATTTTTAATAACTTATCTAAAGGAGGGAACAGACTACAGAGCAGATAAGATGACCCTATGAACCAGATGCTCGCTCACAGAAGTCAGCAGTTTTAATTAACAATGATAGGCTTCCCAAACCCATCGTCTCAAGCCATGGTTGGGAGTCCACCTATAGTTCTCTCCTACCTGTGGCTGCTTGATCGCATTAATTGTCGTAATCTTAAATATTTACACCTCTTTGCTGTGGCATCATGATCAGCCTGTGATAATATTTGTTTCATCGCATTGACATCATCACTACACAAAAATATTTTGTAAACTGCAATTGGTTATTAAAGGTCATGACAAAGTTAATTTTCTGACAATGCTTTACTCGCATTATTTAATATTTTAATGAAATATTCTCTTCTCATTCAACCACGACCAGAATGGGAGAGGATCGTACATTTTGTCCATGGTTTGCGACAATGTCCCAAACCAAGCCTACTGGTTGCTGTTTACACATGTAGACATATATATTGATAAAGTTGTAGACTTTTAAGCATTACTTGACAGTAAAATCTGCTTGTAACAAATTTCCATGGACTGCTGATTTTGCCCCATTAATCGCTTTGAGTGTAATCTGCTTTAACCATGAAGTTAACAAAATATTTTAAAGCCATGGTGAATGAAATCACTTGACTGTATAAGCATAAATTTAAAACAAGCATGTTTGCTAAAAGTGTGTTTTACTGTATTTATAAAGCTATTGACTCCTATAATATTTATTGTCTCATAATTGTAATTTTATTTATTGTATATATGTATATGTGTTTTTAAAGAAGGCCCTGAGGAAGACTGACTACAGTATTATTATTATTATTATTATTATAATGCACTGAACAGATCAACCTTCATCACCTGCATACTGAGTTTATATATCTCAGTTGATTCAATATGCAAGAGCATGCTCTATGTATGAACAATTTTTAAAATGAGGTGAATTATTAACAAAAAAGTTGATGAAACAAGAATATCAGCAGTCTTGTTTAAAGTCATCATTTGGTAAGGTCTATGGTCGATACAATGACCTTGTCAGCAAATACAATTTATCATTGAGTAAATGCTGACTGACGTTTTTCATACTAATTGTTAGTCCATTATTTATACACTGAATTGACAATCAATTTTTACATTGTTTCACGATCATGACAAGGAGTACACGGCAGGTGTGACCGGTCGGCAGGGGATGCTCACTCCTCCATGGCACCTGATCCTACCTCTGATGTTTTGGAGGTCCATGTTTGCTCTGCTCCTATTTTGTATTGTTTTATGTACTTTTGACCTTGAATATGGTTTGTTATCTAAATATGTTTCATCAATTTAATACCAAGCATTAAGGAAGCATCATTAGGTAGTGTAGTTTCAAGTTTATTAAATCTTGATCCCTTGGGTAGGGCGAGGTCATTTTTAGGAAAGTTTTAGTACATAGAAAATAGAAATATATGGAGAAAGTTAAATGTTGGGGTCTTTTGTGATACTGAAGTTTCATCATAAAAGTTTTTTTTATATAGGTATGGCAGAAGTTCAGGAAAGGCAGTTTTTTGAAATAGAAGGACCAAGAGCAGATGTATCCTACCCATTAAAAGTCACATACTGTGGAGGTATTTATCATCATATAGAATTATGAAGTGTACTTCAGTATTTAAATTCTTAAACTTTAAGGCTATACAAATAAATAACAAATTATTACACATAATTCTCCGATATTCATTAACTGCATTATTACTTAATTACACAAAGATATTCAAGCAGAGAAAGTAAAGATGAAAAGTTTGTCTGAAATTTTTAAAATAGAACTTGAAAGTACCGGTATACATGAAGTTTTTAACTCTTGCACAGTTAGTATGTCTGTAACCCTGTTTGGTTTGGTTTGAATTGTTCCTTCCTTTCAGCTGAATTTTATTTTTTGAATATTAAAACAGTTTTAATTATTACAATTATAACCAAGATTAAGATTTCATATTTCATTCTGATTTTTTTTTATTTCAGAATGTACGATGCCTTTGGAGGTAGGTTAAGGCTTTTGTTTTAATGACACATCAAGCTTCATATAATCAAGTTAGGAAAGAAAATCAGCTTCTCACACACTTTAAATGCTAGCCAAATCATTTTAATATTCCTTTTAACATAATAATGATAAGACCTAAATATTACATACTTAATGTGATAATCATGATTCTGGTGCATTGGAGGGGGGGGGGGGTGAAAAGGGCCTTTATTTATCGACTCAAGGATGGAATAGTGAGTTTTCAAGGGAAAAAAATAACTCTTGCTTGAGGAAAGGCAAGAAAATATGCACTGCTGTAATAATTGTAGAATAGTTCCCCCTTTTGTTTTTTAATTGATTTAAAATGCATTGTGTCATTTTTCTTTTCCCTTTTCCAGTACTGTGAATATTACCCAAATTATGAAAAATGCAAAGCATGGCTTGAGAAAAATTTACCAGACGAATTCAGCAAATTGATGAGTGATAAACCTGGTAAGATTTATATGTACAGTGAAGCCTTGCTATTGTATAATCTAATCTGTATTTAAAAAAAAAAAAAAAGGCCAGCAACTTATTCAGAAAATTGTTTTAAGAAATTTTATTTTTGTTTTCTGACTACAGTTATTTTTATTTTGAATAAAGAAGTGAAATCAAATGGGATTTACTGTTTGTAATATACCCAGTAGTTTCAGAGTATCTAAATAAAGAAGGATAACTGTATACCGGTATTCTCTCCTTCAACAGCAGATGAGGGAGATGGTGATACAGATAAAAAACGACAGAAGCGGGGCGGTAAAGGACAGATAAAAACAAAGAAGAAGTCCGAACCTAAAGGCATCAGGCTGGGTACGGCGAAAAGAGGAAAGAAGAAGCACATCACAGTGGTTATAGGACTGGGGACGTATGGTAATTATGTAGTCATAACTTTTATAAAGCTTTGAAGTTTCATTAATTATGTAAAGATTTACTATGAAGGAAGAACAACAGTCATTGAATTAAATACTTGGACTAATATATTCTTGATTGTTAAATTTATTAGTAGTATTCGAAAACTTTAAATATTTCTCTTTCTATAAAAGTTCACAATTTTTTTTTTTCTTAAAATCAAAAGACCGAGTTCTACGCACAATGTTAATGTTCTCTGTACACAATGTATTTTTTGTCACACAGATATTGATCTGAAGGAAGCCAGCAAAGTGTTCTCATCAAAGTTCTCCTGCGGATCCTCGGTAACCGGGGACGACGAAATCGTCATTCAGGGGGATGTCTCAGATGATCTGTTTGAGTTCTTACCAGAAAAATGGCCACAGGTAGGTTGTTCATCATGGACTTATAATGCTAAGAAACCTTCTTGTAAATGAAAACTAAACCATCAATCATTGAGATTACATAGTTTCCCTTATTTGCCATCATACATTAAACATATATTTTATGGCCCACTTTTATTCTTGCCTCTTTTACTCTTGTTGTCAGTAGACAATTTCAAATCAGGATGAATTCAACAGTCAGCGTTATCTTTCTTTTCTCTGGTTTTGTTCCAATAATTGTTTATAATAAAAAAATCTTAACAATTGTAGGTACCTTCCATATGTTCGATTACAAACATTTTATTACAATTACATTCATACATTGTAATAGCTTGTTTCATTTAATTAACAAATCATTCTTTGAGAGTGCAAGATTTTACAGTTTTTAGCTCACCTGAGCCCTTTTCCAAGGGGAGATAATTATGAATTAGAGAAAAATTAATGACATTTAAAAAAATCTTCTTCTCAATAACCACTGGGCCAGGAAAGATGAAACTCATGTGATGAATTCAACACATTCAAAATGGCCGATATTTTACATAGGAATATATAGGAAAAAATCTTTAAAAATCTTCTTCTCTAAAACTCATGTTCATCCTCAGGTAGTGTAGTTCAATAATTGTTTATACAACAATTGTAGGTACCTTCCATATGTTCGATTACAAACATTTTATTACAATTACATTCATACATTGTAATAGCTTGTTTCACTTCATTAACAAATCATCCTTTTAGAGTGCAAGATTTTACAATTTTTTAAAAGTCAAATTCTTGTTTTGTTATAAATTTTAATTATCTTTTTTCCTCAGATTGATGAAGATGATATAGATGATGTTGGAGAAATGAAGAAGTAGGAGTAAATAATGCATAATTTAATTGTTATTTTACATGTATATTAAAAACAAAGACTTTTTGCAATATCTTTGTTGTCTGTTTGAGAGTTTAGAGATAAATTGGAAAGGGTTTTTTCTTACACATAGATATGTATGATCTCCTATATACAGCAAAACTCAATTATAACGAAGTCACTGGGACCTATAAAATTACTTCGTTGTATCCATAATTCGTTATATCCCTATAAGGAATTCATTAAAATTTATAAAGCTGGAGATCCAAGATAGC